ACCGCGCACAGAACAAAAGAGTTTTTAGAGCAAGAAAACATAGAATTATTAGACCATCCGCCGTACAGCCCCGACCTAAGCCCTAATGATTTCTATACTTTCCCTAAAATAAAGAATAAATTGCGTGGACAGAGATTTTCATCACCCGAAGAAGCTGTGGACGCCTACAAAACGGCCATTTTGGAGACCCCAACTTCCGAATGGAATGGTTGCTTCAATGATTGGTTCCATCGTATGGAAAAATGTGTCAAATTTCGCGGAGAATACTTCGAAAAGCAATAAATACATTTTTAAATAGTAATGTTGTCACTTCGTTAATTCCCGAAATTTTTAGTGCCGCCCTCATATTGCTGACGGAGGGGTATGAAATTTTCTACACTTATCTATACTCTATACTTAATATTATAAAGAGGAAATATTTGTTTGTTTGTTTGTATTGAATAAATAGGCTCTGAAACTACTGAACCGATTTGAAAAATTCTTTTACTGTTTGGAAGCTACAATATTCCCAAGTGACATAGGCTATATATGAGTCGTCTATTATCAAAGGTGGCAATCTGTGCATTTGGACAAAAACATGTTATTGATATGTCAATACAGATTTATTTGAATATAATCGTCTCCTTCAAAGAATGCGGTTCAAAACCTGCATTAAATAAAGGTTAATAGTTAACCTGTTATTTATCTAAGATGTCGTTCCGAAGAGTTTTGTGACTGCCAATGGAATACAAAGTCAATAATTCGTTTTTCTGATTTACCAATATTATTCAAAAGTCAGATTGCCGGCTTTGATAATAGACGACTCATATAATCTTTTTTGAAAAAATTAGCGATCCTTACTAAAACTCCAATAATGTAACCCAAGGTGTAAAAAAATCACTTAAAATATTCTTGACATCGCATGCCCTGCGAAAACGATTGATGATAGAATAAAATAATGTACTAAAACTTTTTAGAACACATTATTATTTAGAAAAAGTATCGCGACAGCATATATCTAACTATTATAGTTATGCCGCAATAAGTGTTCTTTTATTTAAAAAAACAAAACAACGTCAAATATCGTTGAAATTTTTGTTAAAGACCCGAGCGGAGCCGGAGCGGGCCGCTTGTCGAGAATATATTATTACAGAGAAGAGCAGATTTTTTTTAAAATATTTTCTTGCATAAAAAATACATTAAAATCAATAAAAAATAAACATTACGCACGCTACCATGTATTTAACACAACACATTTATATAAACTCTTTGTTTATTGTCAAACTTTTGTTATATTTTAAAGTCTGTTGTCAAACGAGAATAGATTAATATTGTTTGTCTAAAGTGTAGTCTTGGCGAAATCTGTGATTATAGAAGTATAATTTAATATTAACAAGAAGTATGATTACTGACGGTAGGACGTCTGTGAGTTCACGCGGGTAGGAACCACTTAGCCTATTTCTGCCGTGAAGCAGTAATGCGTTTCGGTTTGAAGGACGGGGCAGGCGTCAGTAAACACTTAAAACCACGCGGGTCGTGAGTTTGGCTGCTCAAAAAAGTCACTGACAAGCGTGATCGTGTTAACTAGCTGTTTTAAGGGACTTTTTGGTATTTTTCTTTTTCTTTATTGCTTAGATGGGTGGACGAGCTCACAGCCCACCTGGTGTTAAGTGGTTACTGGAGCCCATAGACATTTTTATTTATTGCTTAGATGGGTGGACGAGTTCAGAAACTACCTGGTGTTAAGTGGTTACTGGAGCCCATAGACATTTTTTTTATTGCTTAGATGGGTGGACGATACCAGAAACAACCTGGTGTTAAGTGGTTACTGGAGCCCATAGACATCTTTTTTTATTTTATTTTATTGCTTTGATGGGTGAACGAGCTGACAGCCCACCTGGTGTTAAGTGGTTAATGGAGCCCATCGATATCTACGACGTAAATGCGCCACCCACCTTGAGATATAAGTTCTAAGGTCTCAGTATAGTTACAACAAGAATATAGACTCGAATGTTACCTGGGAGGCGAGGCTGAAGTTAGGTCCGGGTGATCGTTTCTTGGCGGGCGCGGGCGGCGCCGCATTAGCGCCCGCACTGCCTTTGCGCTTACGTCGCTTACTCGCCGGCCGCTGGGACTCTGAAAATTATAAATTACCAATCGTTACGGTTTTTGAAGTGAATCTTCTAACGCGACTTCCAACAACATAGAGACGCCCGAGCGCCTCCGAAGGAGACCTAACAACTCAAGAGCAGCTGCTTCGCGAATGAATCTACTACCGGATCGGAATCGCGACGTATTTACTATAACAGATTCACGCGGTGTTGCTCGGATCGTGTAATGGAAAATGTATTCTGTGCTAATCCAGGGTAATTTGTTCGAAATTTTAATACGTTTAATTTTAGAGAGACTAAATACAAGGCATAAATATCAAGGCATTTTATATGAGTAGTTGACAATTTTAATTTTAATAATTTTGATTTGGTTTCTTTTTTGTTTGTTTTTGTTTTTAGTCATTCTGATAAATTATAATTTTAATTTTATTGTATTTTGATTTAGATGTTAAGTAACTGTATGTGACATTTTATGGGTTTAAGTTGCCTGAAATAAACGCATTTCATTTCATTTAATTTCATAAAAAATTTGACATTTTTTCTAATATCATATTATAAATTTAGTTTGACTTGGTGGCAGCAATAGGAAGGACGGTGGTACTTATCCACATAGGTTCAGAATACTATTACTATATATTATTTATTCATCAGAATCATCAAAATCGATTCACCCGGTCAAAAGTAATGAGGTAAACCGAACATAAAAAAAAACATACAGCCGAATTGAGAACCTCCTCCTTTTTTGAAGTCGGTTAAAAAGTACCAGGTCCTCATAGATCCGTAGGAGGTATAAAATGTTTTTTTGTCTAGCTCTCGCCCACGCGAGATTTTCGGGGTCCGTAACATGAATGAGTCTATGAGGTAAAGCGTTCTAACTCCCTGAACTCAAACTGGTTCTGACTTAGAGACGTCCTGTGGTCCATGGTCCTATGCGATACGTCGTTATATCACGCGATCAAGCGTGATCTTCGATTTTATCTCGATATTGGCGGTTATAGCGACTTTTCGGTGGGTTCTTATAACCTATTTTCCACATAAATAGTACCAGGGCGTAATAACTCACCAGGAGGTGCGACCATCCGCTGCCATTTCTGGAAGAGCGTTGTCTTTAGACAGTCCCGCGGCGACAGCGCGTACGCTTTGTGCCGCGACATGAGCTCTTGCATCGGCTCCAATATCACGCATAACTGTGAACAGGGTGCATAGGGAACTATTAGAGTCGTTCATTATTCAATAGAGCGCAAATCGTCGATATATCGACTCCCCATTAAGGTGTATGAGATACGGAGCGTCGGTATATCTAGTAACGCGTATTGCTGGGCGTCGATATACCGACTAATGCGCAGTTTGATTATAATAATATGTATTAGGACCTGTACGGACGTGTCTTAACGCGCACGCTTCTAACGTTTTTAATAACGTTTTTAATGGCATTTATAAATGCCATTTAAAATTATTTTGCTGTGATGTGGCATTTTTTTATGTTCAATATTATTCCAAGGTACTTTTTTTCAAGAATCCCTTTCGAAATTTCTGCAAAATATGTGAAAATAAGCTCAGCACGAAAAGGGTTCAAAGCACAATATCGGATCTACATTTAAAGAAACTATACAAGTATTCTATCTCGTTCTCTCACAGGCTTGGTAGGACCTCTTGAGTCCGCACGGGTAGGTACCACCGCCCTGCCTATTTCTGCCGTGAAGCAGTAATGCGTTTCGGTTTGAAGGGTGTGGCAGCCGTTGTAACTATACTGAGACCTTAGAACTTGTATCTCAAGATGGGTGGCGCATTTACCGCATTTACGTTGTAGATGTCTATGGGCTCCAGTAACCACTTAACACCAGGTGAGCTGTGAGCTCGTTCACCCACTTAAGCAATAAAAAATAATGATAAAAAGAAAGAATCTTATTCAATGTACCAGGCGCTCATAACCAATAAGGAGGCTCACCCTTAAGTAGTTAAGCGTTGAATTCGTGATGCCCTGCCGTGTGATGTTCTTCGTGAGCTGGTCGAGCGCGGCGTGGTCCGGCGGGTGGACCGCCTGCCGCGGGATTAGCTCGCGGTGCGCGCGGACCGCCATGTGCCATGACTTGATCCGCATGAGGTCGTCGAACGTGAACTCGAGGATCAGTCTGCCTTCCGTGCACACCTGGAAGGAGAGATTTTAATTGTTACGAATCCTGAAGTCGTCATAGATAATTTTTGAGCCTATCTGGCTCAACCAGGCAGATAGTCATATCTGGTTATGGAAACGGTTGGTGGTAATGCCACCCAAGACTATGGAGGAAAATCACATGTGGTCGCGATCCTCAGCAGTGAGGGAACGATGAAGAAGAGAGAATATATTAAGGGAAGCAGTCAAGTGATCTCTTGAAGAAAGATCTACTTTTTTACTGGTGGTAGGACCTCTTGAGTCCGCACGGGTAGGCACCACCGCTCTGCCGTGAAGTAGTAATGCGTTGCGGTTTGAAGGGCGGGGCAGCCGTTGCCGTTGTAACTATACTGAGACCTTAGAACTCAAGATGGGTGGCGCATTTACGTTGTAGATGTCTATGGGCTCCGGTAACCACTTAACACCAAGTGGGCTGTGAGCTGGTCCACTCATCGAAGCAATAAAAAACTAAAAAAAATACACATAAATTAGTTATAGATAAGCACTCAAGACTCAAGCACTCAACAAAAATGTTTAAGGGCGTCGGCCACTAGATGGCTTCGCTTCGATTAGTTTCCCATTGCTCCTGTAGATGGCAGTAACATATTACCTACCTATCATTTAATTTATTGTTAATGAAGACTTTTGTAAATTTTGAGAAACCACAAATCGATAAAATGTAATCAATTTGTCTATAACAAATAGACTTGTATAATTTATTTATTTATTTTATTTTCTGTGTTTAGTTATACAATAATTAAATGCCATATCTTTAACAACATATAAGTTTAAGGACATCCTCTACAAGATGTCGCTAGTTTCCATACAAAAAATATTTGTCTTAAAGAATCGCAGTTTCAGGGCTCTGGTCGTCGTGGCCTAAAGGATAAGACGTCCGGTGCATTCGTATGTAGTCGTACCGATTTTTCTAATGAAATGCGTACTTAGGATATGTTCACGATTGACCTCCACAGCGAAGGAACAACATCGTGTAATAAAAACCAAGCCCGCAAAATTATAATTTGCGTAATTACTGGTGGTAGGACCTCTTGTGAGTCCGCACGGGTAGGTACCATGGCCCTGCCTATTTCTGCCGTGAAGCAGTAATGCCTTTCGGTCTGAAGGGTAGGGCAGCCGTTCTACTTTAAAAGCTGAGACCTCAGAACTCATATCTCAAGTTAGGTGGCGGCATTTACGTTGTAGAAGTCTATGGGCTCCAAAGCCTGGCACGCGATAAAATACCTTGAAAAATACCCTGCTCTTTGTATCCCTGATAATGTTTACGCCAGACCTCGTGGTGATAGGCAGAATTATGGTAGCCAACATTGAGGGCTCTCAAAACCCACCCCCCACCCCATCCCCTATCTTCCACAACCAACAACGGATAAAATATAACGTGCGTTAACTTCTAAAAGTACCAGGCTGTCATAACTAATAAAGAGGTCTTACCTTCGTGAACATAGGCTTGCCGTGGTGCGTGACCATTGTGCAATGATCGCAGTCCAGCGTGATGCTCGTGTTGTGGAAGGACTCTTTGGGCTGGCGCATCGTGTAGTACAACTCTGAGACGCCGCCTTCGTATATACTGCGGAAGTAGCGAGGTATCAGGGTCCTCCCTATCGCTGGAAGTGATAAAATACATAATATAAACAAAAGTTCCAATGTGCAGCGGTAACGGAAGTACTATCCCATGATTTGCAAGGGAAGTAAATTGTCCCTTGACACCCTACAAAACTTGCATGCGCCCCGTCATGACCTATGCAGGATAGCCGTGGGAGAACCATGGTCCCTAATGAACGTGGATCTCCATGACAACCTGGAGCTTGACTCAGTCAGTAAGTATTAACAGTCGGCATCATTGCGCCACTTTGAAAAGGCGGCACGACATGAAAACCCTCTTGTCGTGGCTGCCGGGAATTACATACCCGATCCTGTGAACCGAATGGTAAACAGTCGACGTCGCCCTAAGCATGTCATTACGGATCCTGCCGATCCATTAACGATGCTTTTAAGTACCACAAGCACCGGTCACCGTCCTCGTCGAACCCATCGCTTGCGACGAAGGGCTCGACGAGTGAAGTAACCCATAAACACAGCCCACTGAGTTTCTCGCCGGATCTTCTCAGTGGGTCGCGTTCCCGATCCGGTGGTAGATTCTGCGAAGCACTGCTCTTGCTAGGGCCTAGTAACAACTCCGGTTTGAGCCCCGTGAGCTCACCTATACACGTTAGGGCGAAGCTGAAATAGCCTCTCAAGGCTATTAATTAGCATAGGTAGGGAAATAAAAACTCTCACACTGCCCACTGAGTTTCTCGCCGGATCTTCTCAGTGGGTCGTGTTTCCGATCCGGTGGTAGATTCTGCGAAGCACTGCTCTTGCTAGGGCTAGTGTTAGCAACACACCTGATTTGAGGCCCGTGAGCTCGCCTACACGTCAAAAAGCTGATATAGCCTCTCAAGGCTATCAGCATAGGTAGGAAAAAAATTAGCAGGGTTACCTACCTGTATGTGAGTTCCTACGGTAAGCACTTAACGTCAGATGGCCATGCAGCTAGGTTTGATAATGACAAGAAAAAAAATCAAAGCAAATTTTACATCTGGGTACCAGGAAATCATGTTCTGTGAGGAAGTTTTATTGAGTTTTAAAGCATCATGTAAGATTTCGCAAAACACGGGACTTTATAAGAACTTTCTTACCGTATTATAGGAGAGTTACCAGTTTATGAGTTCCGACGGTAAACACTTAACGTCAGATGGGTATGCAGCTAGGCTTGATAATTAAAAGAAAAAATCAAAGCAAACTTGACAGCCAGGGTACTAGGCAATCATGTTCTGTGAGGAAGTTTTATTGAGTTTTAGAATATCTAGTGAGAACTCACTGTATCTTTTGGGTCCGTCTTCTAAACAGAATGTTAGTGTTAGCGTCGCGTCATCCTCGAAGAATTCCGTCGCGAACGCGTCCCACCAGAGGTTGTCAGAGTCCTGGAATTGAGAAGACATTTTCTTTTTAATGTTTTTAATATGTATATTTTTTCGTACAGTCTCGTATGGCGAGAGGAGGGGGAGGGGATTGGGCTTTAGTGGCCTCCGGAAGCCACATCCAGATAGATAATTCAATAGATCAAGAAATAAATGTTCAGTTTTTGTTTTTTTATTTGACATTATAATTACTGGCTCCGTATCACATAATAACATTTCAATTTCGTACACAGCTAAAGTTTTTTTGGTGTATTTATGTAGATCATCTAAGGCTTCGTCAAACAGAACGCGTAATTAGCGCGCGTCAGAGCGCTACGCTATGACGCCGAGATGTGATGTACTACTGTGGTAACATACCGTCCGCGTCACACAGTGCCAGCGCTATAAGCTCTTCTCGGCGTCATAGCGCGGCGTTAGTTTAGCGCTCTGACGCGCGCTAAGTACGCGTTCTGTTTGACGAAGGCTTTAATTCATATCAAGAACGCTTCGAATTTTCTTTAATGAGCCAAAAAAAAGTAGTTTTAGTATGGCGAGGTTTGGGACTATAAGAATTCGCCTAAAAATCGATTCACTCATTTTGATCATCGGCGTTGTGTAGAAATACTGTTTTTTTGTTGTTGTAGGTTTATTATGAAAATTCGAACTGTGCTGAAATACAACAGAAACATCTATATATTAATACGTGAAGCAAAAACTTTGTATCCCTTTTTACGAAAATTGCGCGGACGGAGGAGTATGAAATTTTCCACACTTATAGAGAATATAGAGAAGAAGTGAGCAATGCTAATATTTTTTTTAAATAATGCATAAAAGATACATTAAATCAATAAATAAAACATTACACGCACTACATACCATGTATTTGACGCACACACGCATGCATACTATTTATTGTCAAACTTTTGTTCTTGGCGTCTGTTGTCAAATTGAGAATAGATTAAATATTGTTTGTTTTTATTAATATTTTTTTATAGTGTAGCCTTGGCGAAATTTGTGATTATACAAGTATAAAATACAATCATAATAGTGTACAAACTTACAATTACAATTATAGTCGAATTTCGACTACTGCGGGACCTCTAGTTTATTTAATTGTGCACGAAATTGAGACACTGTTATGCGATATGGAGCCAGTAATAATTATAACATAAAATTAATTAACGTAAACATTTATTTATTGATCTAATGAACTAGCTGAATGAGGCTTCCGGTGGTCACTGAAGGTCACCTCCATTAAAAGACACGGTCAAACTTTATTTATTGCATAAAACTGTCCCACCAGGGAAACTCTTCACGTTATGCAAGATTCAGTGCCTATGCGATTCCATAGACTGATTTGTAATCAGTTCCTCCCCGAGAGTCCACGGGTTGAGTGAAGATTGCGGATGTCAGAAGCAAAAAAACCTGCCTACCCACACCTAGTTCATTTTTAGGCGTTACCATTGGAACTCGAAATATCGGGAATTCATTATCGAATCGACAAAAGAGGTGAGAAAATTTCAAGTGCTTATAAGTTTAGATTTTTCACTATAGGTCGCGTTTACTTAGAAAACGTGGAAAAAACTACGTGAGAAAAATACGTGCTTAGATGGTTGGACCGTAGTTAACCGGAGCCCATGGACTTCTACAACGTAAATGGCACCACCCAACTTGAGACATGAGTTCTAAGGTCTCAGTTTTATCAGTACAACGGCTGCTTCGCCCTTCAAACCGAAACGCATTACTGCTTCACGGCAGAAATAGGCAATGTGGTGGTGCCTACCCGTACGGACTCACAAGACGTCCTACCATTAGCAAACACTCTACAAAGATAATAATTTCGAAAACCTATTATGATTTTTATAAATTATTTATTAGTAACAATACAACAAATTTCAAAAATAGTCCGTATGAAGTTAAAAATCTATATTAATATATAAATCTACAGTGGTTTTTACGGATGTTCCGTTATAACTACTGAACCGTGCATCCGATTGACTTGAAACTTAGTATCCATGTAGAAAATACATGTACTTAATGGATAGACTAATATTTATATGAGTGTTGAACTCCCTACACCAGTTGCGGGGGCGTTAATGATGAGAATCTTTGTGGGGGTGAGAAATAATAATGTTAATATTAAATTCCCAACGAAGAGGTCGGGTACAGCTAGTATTCCTATAAGATTAGTTATTGTAATCGAATTAAATTTTTAATTTATTTGATAGAATCTCCGACCTAATCAATGGTATAGTATTTTTTGAAGTTTAATAACTTAGAGCATAACGGTACTCTTTTGGCTAGAACATAAAATTTCAAGATTGAAAGCCCTCACGGATGAATAACACCCAGGATCTTGCCTGTTTATACCGCTAAGCTATCGAAGGACCAGCATTAAAGAAAACAATTTGGTTTTCATTCGCAAAAAAATGATAATGTATCCTTATGTGAATCCCATAACTATAATGAAGATAGGCCGCGTCATCTACGCTTTTTTTATGGCCCTTGTAGGCAGACGAGCAGCCGGCCCGCTTGATGGTGAATGTCACCATCACCCATGGACTTCAGCAGCAGAGCCAGGCCACTACCTACCGTTTAACGTCTTCAGAGCGAAATATAGAAGGAGTGTAAGGAAAAACTGCACTGTCTTGTACTGGTGGTAGGACCTCTTGTGAGTCCGCACGGGTAGGTATCATGCCCTGCCTATTTCTGCCGTGAAGCAGTAATGCGTATCGGTTTGAAGGACGGGGCAGCCGTTGTAACTATACTGAGACCTTAGAACTTATATCTCAAGGTGGGTGGTGTATTAACGTTGTAGATGTCTATGGGGTCTATTAACCACCTAACACCAGGTAGGCTGTGAGCTCGTCCACCCATATAAGCAATAAATAAAAAAAGGTGTATATAAACTTACCTCCGTCCTCTGCTGTAACCTCTTATTGAGTTCATATACTCTGTAATCTGGTTGCCCGAAGTATGGCGTGTGCCGCCTGAAACAATATAAGAGACATTAGTCGCTGGTATCCTGGTGATAATAGTGGTCTGATGATGAACCGGACGCACGATTTTTGAGGCTCATCACTATTTATTTATGACTGAGGTATTACTGGTGGCCGGAGTCCTTTCCAGTTTCACCAGGACAGGTGGGCGAGTAAATGCTCAGCCAGGAGGGGTGGGATTTGCTAACAGCTACCCACCCGAGCGAGTTCTTTTTTTTTCTCCTACCTAAGCTGATAGCCTTGAGAGGCTATTTAAATTTCTCCTTAACGTGTAGGTGAGCTTACGGGGCTCAAACCTGATGACGTTGCTAACACGAACCCTAGCAAGAACGGTGCTTCGCAGAATCTACCACCGGATTGGAAATGCGACCCACTGAGAAGATCCAGCGAGAAACTCAGTGGGCTAATGTATGGGTTAGGTTGCACGACGAACCCACTTGCCGAGTTCGAAGAATACGGTTAAAGCTCATCAAAAGCTCACCACCAGTCTGGTGGTTCATCGCGCGACTTTGAAACTTAGGGTTGTCGCTTCTGCGGATGATACTAGGTGATAGTTTTGTATAGCCCGTAATAAATTTTAAGCGACTTTAAAAAAGGAGGAGTATCTGTGTTCGACTTGGTGTTTTTTTTTTGTAATTTACTTACACCGATTTTTTTCTGACTGTAGTATTTCACATAGTTGAAGTCGATTTTAAATTATTTTTTTATTGTTTAAGTGGATGAACGAGCTCACGGCCCATCTGGTGTTAAGTGGTTACCGGTGCCCATAGACTCTACAACGTAAATGCCGCCACCCTCCTTGAGAATGGTATTAAGGTCTCACTTTTAACAGTACAAGAGCTGCCCAGCCTTTCAAACCGAAACGCATTACTGCTTCAGGGCAGAAATAGTCAGCACGATTTTATTAATTGTATTTACCGTACAATCAAGACCTCATGTCTCAAGATGGATATCGGTGTTCACGTTTTGAGGTCTATCCGCTCCAATAACCGCTTAACATCAGATAGGCCGTGAGATTGTTCACGTGACAATGGATCACAAAACTAATATCTTACTCTAAGCTACCAGGATACCATAACTATTGCAGAGGTCGTCTATAAATTTATTCAATATTAATAAAATCTATACATTAATACGCGAAGCAAAAACTTTGTATCTCTTTTTACGAAAATTGCGCAGACGGAGTAGTATGAAATTTCCCACACTTATAAGAGGTGTGTAGAACGCTAATAATTTTTTTTATTATCCAGAAAAATACATTAAATAAATAAATAAAACATTACATGAATTTTACACACACACACGCATATATACTCTTTTGTTCTGTGGTCAAATTGAGAATAGATTACCTAATATTGTTTATCTTTATTATTATTTGTCTATAGTGTAGTCTTGATAAAATCTGCGATTATAGAAGTATCTTAGTTACAGAAATCGACATAATTACTTCAGTGCGCCGCGTAGGGCACCGGTGACCTACACGGGAGTCAAAGGGTTAATGGCCGGTCCGGTTGCTAAGCGAATTAATTTTTTTATTGCTTAGATGGGTAGACGAGCTCACAGCCCACCTGGTGGTTAAGTGGTTACTGGAGCCCATAGACATCTACAACGTAAATGCCACCCACCTTGAAATATAAGTTCTAAGGTCTCAGTATAGTTACAACGGCTGCCCCGCCCTTCAAACCGAGACGCATTACTGCTTCACGGCGAAAATAGGCGGGGTGGTGGTACCTACCCGTGTGGACTCCCAAGAGGTCCTACCACCAGTAATTACGCAAATTATAATTTTGCAGGTTTGATTTTTTTATTACACGATGTTATTCCTTCACCGTGGAATTGATAAGTACGTATTTCATTAGAAAAATTGGTACCCGCCTGCGGGATTCAAACACCGGTGCATCGCTACATACGAATGCACCGGTCGTCTTATCCTTTAGGCCACGACGACTTCAAATGGCCTGATGACCAAGAAATCTTGCCTAAAATTATGGACACACTAGTAATTTTCTTGATTTATGAACGAAATGGCGACAGTGAGCGTACGGACGCACGTAAAGTCATTGAAAAATGAATCAATGTTAGTATGACCAAGGATTGGCTTATCGTCGGATAATCTCTAGATATCGGCGACTTACATTTCTTCTTCTAATAGTTTTCGATATGGTAATTGGTATCTTGTCTTCAGGTTAGAGCTAGGACTCCGACTTGAAGACGTTGCTAACACTAGCCCTAACAAAAGCAGTGCTTTGCAGAATCTACCAGCGGGTCGGAAACGCGACCCACTGAGAAGATCCGGTTAGAAACTCAGTGGGCTGTGTCTATAGGTTAATTCACTCGCCGAGCCCTTCGTCGCAAGCGACGGGTTCGACGAGTAAGATGACCGGTGCTTGTGGTACCTAAAAGCACCGTTAGTGGATCGGGAGGATCCGTAATGACGTGTTTAGGGCGACGTCGATTGTTTACCATTTGGTCTGCAGGATCGGGAATGTAGTTACCGGCGGCCACGGCAAGAAGTTTTCGTGTCGTGCCGCCTTCTCTAATTTATTTTTATTTTTTTATTGCTTAGATGGGTGGACAAGCTCACAGCCCACCTGGTTTTAAGTGGTTACTGGAGTCCATAGACATTTACAATGTAAATGCGCCACCCACCTTGAGATATAAGTTCTAAGGTCTCCTCAGCATAGTTACAACGGCTACCCCACCCTTCAAACCGCATTACTGCTTCACGGCAGAAATAGGCTGGGCGGTGGTATTTACCCGTGCGGACCCACAAGAGGTCCTACCACCAGTACAAGACAGTGCAGTTTTCTAAGTGACGCACTGATGCTTATTGAAAATATTAACTGAGAGAGAACTCCAACTTTACTTCTAAAGTAGTGAGTTCGTATTCCGACTACAGCAAGAAATCTGTTCGGATATGAAAAGCAGGTCATTATGGAAGGAATCCTTATGAAATAATTCATCAAATGAAGCCTTAACACCAACGTAATAAGTTTCATGTTTTGTTTACTTGTAGGTTATTTATTTATCTGAATACAATAGTTATGAATAATGTGACGTGTTCATTAAAGAAGAATTTAAAAAAAAAGTGCGTGCGTACAAAGTACACATGTCAAAAGTGAAACTTTTTTGGCGAACTAATTTATAAGTCTTGCTTATATTTATACAAATCTAAAACTTTAGATTTCCGAGACTTAGAGGAAGGGAAAAAGGAAGATATGTTCCCGCCAAAAGTTTGTCAAATGTCAATCTCAAGCCTCAGGGTGGACAGTCACATTATGTTTAGATTTCTAAATTGTAAATGACTAATATTTTGCCAATTGAATTGACTAATTTAATTTAATACTATTTGATTAATGTTCCAAATTCTTTTCATTCCATTTCAATTCCTGTTAACATTTTTCACAAAAAAATTATAGTATGGTATGATACATTTGCCTTTCCAGTTGGAAAAATACAACTACTACTACTGACATTTGACAAGTACTTAATTTCAATAGTAGTTTGATGTCACTTCCGTTGCATGCCTGCGTGACGTTCTGTAAAAATTTTACCCCCAAGCGCCTAAAGAAGTTTCACTTCAAAAATTTAAGTAAATCCTAGATGCGATTATTCTTACGTGCCAACCCTAAATGATAAGAGTCGTCTGGTTTGAGCCCCGCGAGCCGACCTACTAGTTAAGGTTACGCTGATATAGCCTCTCAAGGCTATCAGCTTAGGTAGGAAAAAAAAACCTAAATGCAAAATCAATAGGATATTATGTATTCAATGTGTTATGAGGAAACAATTCGAAATGCGTAGCCCTAAACAGGTCATTACGGATCCTCCCGATCCATTAACGGTGCTTTTAGGTACATCAAGCCACGGTCACCGTCCTCGCCGAACCTGTCGCTTGCGACGAAGGGCTCTACGAGTTAATTAACCCTCAGACACAGCCCACTGAGTTTCTCGCCGGATCTTCTCAGTGGGTCGCGTTTCCTGGTGGTAGATTCTGCGAAGCACTGCTCTTGCTAGGGTTCGCGTTAGCAACGTCGTCAGGTTTGAACCCCCCGAGCTCACCTACTTGTTAGGTTACGCCGACACAGCCTCTCAAGGCTACCAGCATAGAATTTTTTTAGCGATATGCAATTTTATCACAATATACTTAAAGTACACAAAGCAACATAAAAGGTGTTAAGCTAGTACTTTTTTTTTAATTACCTTTATGGATAGACTAGCGTATCGCTCATTTGACGATAAGTAATGGCCGTTGCTCGTGGACATAGTCAATGACAGGAGTACAATCGGGCTGATGCTCTAAATTACCGAACACCGACCAAAGTTCGATGCTGTGGTCTTGTGGAATATAATTTCTTGTTATTTAAGGTTCGAAGATATAAAGTTTTATAGTTTGCCTTGTATTTATAGTTTTTTTTTTATAGCTTAGATAGTTGGACGAGCTCACGGCTCACCTGGTGTTAAGTAGTAACCGGAGCCCATAGACATCTACAACGTAAATGCCGCCACCCACCCGAGACATCAGTAGTGAGGACTCAGATCTTTTTTTTTATTGCTTATATGGGTGGACGAGCTCACAGCCCACCTGATGTTAAGTGGTTTCTGGAGCCCATAGACATCCACAACGTAAATGCGCCACCCACCTTGAGATATGAGTTCTAAGGTCTCAAGTTTAGTTACAGCGGCTGCCCCGCCCTTCAAACCGAAACGCATTACTGCTTCACGGCGGAAATATCCGCTCCAATAACCGCTTAACATCAGATGGACCGTGAGCTCGTTCACGTGATTATGAAGCACAAAACTAAAATCTCACTCTAAGCTACCAGGATACCATAACTATTGCAGAGGTCGTCACCTTTAGAATTTATCATATTGGATATTGGCTCGGATAAATGGTATATTTTTACCAACGACATCGACAAGGAATTCCGTCATATAAAGCACACTAACAGTTATCACCATTGATCCTATTTTTGCTGCAAAGCAAGCTTGGT